ATTTGATTTGACAACATGATTTTCAAAATCAAACGGATTTTATAGTCAGTTCTTTTAAAATTAAATTCAGTTCATTTAATCATTTCTCTAGCATGTTGTATTCATATTACATATTTAAATATATATAAAGCCATTTTAAAAACCACCAGAAAGTACCCAGGTAATTTTACCTAGTTTGCACTGTTGTGAATGTGTTTCCACAGTGTATGACTTCTTATGGTTATTTTACCCGATCTGCACTAGTATGAATGTGTTTCCACAATGTATGATCATTTATGGTGATTTTACCCCGCTCTGTACTATTGTGAATGTGTTTTCATAGTGTATGACCAGATTATATCTTTGCGCGTATGACCAGAATTACAGAATTGAAAAGCTTTGCCATGTATATCGGTACTAATCGATACATGAGTAAGGTTATTCAGGGTATCTTTTTGGTGTGATACTTCAGTATTTCTACAACTTATTTGATTTTCAGTTATAGAATTCAGATTATTCCGTTCTCAGAATGAAGCTTTCAGCTTATAGTATTGAACAACAAAATATTTTAGAGACTTTCTTAGGTATCAGATTAATTATATTCGTTATACTTTATAGTTACTTGTTTAGAATGAAAAACAAATGATTTAACGATGCAATCTTGTTTAAGTTTTTAAGAGTATTATCATATTTTAGAATTACTCAAAGTTTCAAAAGAATAAGAATTTTCAGAAAATATGCATAAATGGAAGAAAAGTATATACTTATTTATAAACTATACACTCACTAAGTTATAAGCTCATATATTTTGTCACATTTTTCCTTATCAGATAGTAGCTGAGTTGAGCAGCATTGGAGACTATTGATCTACCGAGTTAAGCCACACTGTGCTTTTACTTGTATGATTCATTTGTCAACTTACTTAATTTATATTTCTTTTGGGATACACGTATGTTTTATCAAAAAAGTTAATTTGTGTATCCATGTCATAGGCTCGCTGTATATTGAGAATTTTGAGTACATTTAGGGACTTTTGATTGTAAATGATAGTAAAGGTTGATTTACCAATGTTGTATTTGAAATAATTTGAGTTTAAGGGACTGGTGTATCATGTTTTAAGTTATATGTACAGGTTTATGGTAATTGATTATATTTCAAGTGGTTTTAGTTCATATTACAAGGGGAACTCTGCCAAAATTTTCATAAAAATATGTCACAGTCAAAGCAGGTCAAGGTTGCCTTGGTAGTGGGTCGACACTTAGCTAGTATCTATCATCGGTGCACGACACGTGTCGGGTCCATTAGGGTGATTCGGGACGGGTCGTGACACGACTTGTAGCTCGATCGAGCCTCAGCCTAGCCCCATTTAGGGGTGCTGTCCGAGCTGACGAGCCACACGGGCCAGCTCATGTCACGACCATTTTCAGCCAGTAACGAATTGATCCTTTTAAAAAATAAAAATAATAATTAAAAGCTGCCCGTGTTAGGCAGCAAGTTGCTGCCTACGAAGGCAACCAGCCCTTGTTTTTTTTTTTTTTTGTAAAATACATTTTTCTCTACATTATTTTCAATAATATATTTTTCAATAAAATAATATTATTCAAACTCAAAAAAATTTCTATTTTTTAACAACACATTCTCTATCAAAATATTATTCCAAAATGTATTTTGTGCAAAAAATAGGCTCAATCAGGTTCCAAATGTTTCATCAATTTTCTCTTTTTCTTTTCCTGTTTGTGAAGATGAATTGAATTGAATTGAATTGAATTATATGATAGAGAGATGATGAAATGAAGAAAAAGGTTGGAGACTTTTCGGACGTACGAAGGAAGGTGGAGTTGTGAAAGAGAGGCTTGTTTCTTGTGTTGAGTGTATGTGGTAGCATGAATTTTTTGTTCAAATAAAATAACGGCTTGTTTGGTATGTGAAGAATGTAAAACAAATTAGAGAAAATTTTGATTTTCGATTTTTTTAATGGAAAATTAGAGTTGAATTTTCCAACCTTTCAAATTATTATGGTTTTAACTTCCAATATATTTAGCCTCTGGTTCGAAAAATGTATAAATAATTTATAAAGAGATATAGTAGTAGTGGGTTATACGAAATGTCTGCCTCCCTAATATAAATTTCTATTTGAATAGAGGATTAAATTTGAATCTCTATATGATTGAAATCATCCATGTTGATGTTAAAATCCCACAACTTTAACGCGATTGAAAGTTGGAGAGTATATTTGTGAAATCACTTAACTTTCAGTTTTAAACCATGTGAAAGTCGTGTACAATCTTAAAAATGGTATTCACATTCACATATTTGTCATATAAGGATCAAGATTTACAGATTTAGCCCTTTTTTTAAAATAATTTTTCTAAATTACTTTTCTACTACAATCATTTCAACCACAATTTCTAAAAAAATGTTATTTTCACATTTCTTTATATATTTTGTCTACTTTTTAATCACACTTTCATCAAAACCACTTTTTAAAAATCACACAAAATTAAGTGTGTATTAATTTTGTGATTTCTGTAGAGATGGCAATGGCTCACCCTTATTACTCACTGGATGAGCCAAGCTTGGCCCGAGCCACTAATTTTTTTTATTTTTTAAATATAAAATCTGTCTTTATTCATGCTTGGAATCAGGTACTTAAATTTCGAGTATGCAAAATAAAAAATTGTACACGAACAACTTGTTACGTGTACGATTGTTTTAAAACAATAAAAATAGTGTTATAAAATAACAAATTTTATTAAATATCACTTACCTAACGACATACAATTTCGACATACTTATCTTGTAGTAAAAAATGAACATCTTGCCAACCTTCAAGCACATTAATGCTTCCAAAACATATTTTAGTCGACTCCTAACATCGGACAGAACCTTCTTATCTGCATTAAAAGCAGACATCGAAGCTATAGTACTAACTAGAGGTGTCAACATGTCTTTTGCAATCACAGATACCATTGACCATCGTTATTCGTACTTTTTCCAGAAGTCGATTATTTATTCCGAACTTTTTCTAATTGTTGTATTACTAGGCATGTGATAATTAAAGTAATTCAACAAGCAATGAATTTGGACTTACCGTCTGATTAGATATAGTAGACATGTTAGAACTTACCGCATCATATCTATAAGTGTTAATACCTTCACATAAATTTAGTATTTTAGCATCATCTTCTTCAAAATTACCGGGAGGAATAGTTACAAAGGATGCCCGACTAATGTTTGCACCCATTCATCGTGCATATAATTATTACATTTCGCATAAAATTTGTTCTAAATTTCTATAAGTGATAGGTGTGTCAAAAGTCAAAAACTTTCGAAATTTGATCAATTACATAATTAGTACCTGATAAATTAAATCAGAGGTCCATGATACATGTCAAAGGAAATAACATAGACAAGTCTTCCTAATATTTTCTAAACTTTAATTCAATAAAAAATATATATAATTTCACTAAAATCGGGACCATTTTTTATTTATCAAAAGTCCTTACAATAATATAAAGACGTTCAAACAACATACATCTAGTAGGATAGTACACTCAAGATAAAATATTTGTAGAGTCATAAAAATTTGTCAAAAGTCTTTTAATTTTGAAAGTTATATTTCAATAAAATTCATTCAAAATAGTGTTATCATTGTTTCTAATATGCTTATTATTATGAAATTCAATTATTAAATGTTCATATTCTTCAGATGATTTCAATAATAAATAAGTCAAGTTCCATCTATGTCCTACGTCACTAACAAATTTCAAATTCATCACTCGAAAACCAGCAAATTAGAAACAATGGATTAATTAATTGTTAATATGCTCGAATTAATTAA